TGATATTCCTGAACGTGACCCAACTCTCTAGGCAGCGTGACTCAGCGGTGGCTGTTTTGGGAAATGCATCATCTGGCAACTGCCATCCTCACTCCTATCCGTTGGAAAGCAATGAAAGCTTGAATATGTTTCCTTGCAGACACGGCTGGATGTGTACACATCCCACTATCCGGATGGGACATCTGTCAAAAACATGATACACTGGGCCCAGGTAGGTTCCCTGAAACGCAGATGCTTCACCCCTGGGATGGTCCCTTCACTGAGAGTCTGGTGTGTCCAGGGCAGACGTGAGAGGTCAGGGATCTTGGACATTAGCAGCTTGTGAGAAAGTAAAGGCAAGAAATTAGGCATACAGAAGAGGTGCTGGATGCAAGATGAGCTGCCCTGGCCCCTCTGGGGACCAGGGGACGCTGGGCGGTGTGCCCTGGGCTGTGCCAGGTAGGACAAGGGAAGGGATGGGGAGGCCACAGCTGGATGCTGGGACCAGTTTAGGGGCCCCCAGGGATCCCCAAAGCAGAGCAAGCCCAGGGACACCATGGTGATGGTGGATAGAAGCCAGGGCGTACAAAGAGAGGCTGGGGGAGGTGGGCTTGCTCAGCCGGGGACAAGGAGGCAAAGGGGGATCCAATGGCATCTCTTCCTGCCCAAAGGGGTCCCAGAGACACGGGGGCCAGACTCTGCCTGTCTGAGCAACCTGCTGCAGCTGCGGTGTTGGCCCTGCTGGAAACGGCGTCAGGCTGGAGACCCCCACCCTGGTGCCTCCTTGCAGAGCCAAATTATAGGTGACAGGGAAGGCGAAAAAGGTCTTTTTAATCAATGCAACTATTGTGCAGGTATCTGAGCTTTCGCCCTTAGCATAGATGCAACTCTTATAATAACTGGGCTCACTGATGCCTCTGTACTCTGAGCCCAAAGTGTCATGAGAAGGTAAGGATGATCAGGTTGTTGAACGAAAACTCGCCAACGTGAAGTCCTCCAGCAGCATCCTGCACACACAGCTGGTGATGAGCAGGTTTCCAGAGGCATGAGCATTGCACCGGGGCAGCCAAGGAGTCACATGCAACACCTTGGTTTGTCAACCCATCGCTAAGGATAGGCGTGGAGCTGGAGGTCAAAGCATCCCCCTGTTAAAAAAGGTGGAAACTCTGGCTTGGCAGGGATGCAACCTCCTCCTGCAATGACCCATGCGAGCACCCTCTCGTGATGTGGTCCCTCAAGGAGGCCGGGAGATGCCGGACCCACACAGCAGTGCTCGCTGGCCCCCCACCACAGATCTATCCTCTCCTCCCAGGTGATGAAATCAGGAGAATTCAAAGCCTTCGACTATGGCAGCGAAAACCCAACCATGTACCACCAGGTAGGAGGCTGCAGCGGCAGTGCTGGTGGCTGGAGATGCCAGGGGACTGTCCTGGGTGGTGCTGGGACAGGCTGGCTTGCAGGGGTTGACCAGGACAGCAGTTTCTCAGAGCCCCCTGTGTCCCTCCAGGAGACACCTCCCTCCTACCAGGTGGAGGAGATGCCCGTGCCCACTGCGGTGTGGTCAGGGGGGGAAGACTGGGCAGCTGACTGGAGGGATGTCCGCCTGCTGCTGCCCCGCATCGCCCATCTCGTCACCTACGGCCACATCCCCGACTGGAACCACTGGGACTTCATCTGGGGCTTGGATGCCCCCAGGCGCCTCTACAGCAGCATCCTGGAGCTGATGGAGGGCTCCCAGTAGAGCGGCGGCTCCCCAGGGAGATGCCCGTGGCCTGCCCCCTCCCCATAGGCTGGGACAGCCCGAGGAAGTGGCGGACATCCCCTGCTGTCCCCTCCTTCCTGTTGGCCTGACACGCTTGTGGTGACAGCGCTTCCTGCGCATCCCTTAGTCGTCGGGGTTTGTCCTGCTCCTTGCTTGAGAGCTCCTCAGGGACCAGTGGCACTGTGCAGGCAGGGCAGCGTCAGCATCAACCCAGGCGTCAGGGCGGACAGGAGCCACCAGCCAGGCAGCCCTGCTGGAAGGGCTGGGGTGCCATGGTGATGGTGGAGCCATGTCCTGGGCCGCACGAGGGGGACACAGGGATCCTGCCGTGACCCCACAGTGGCTGCCCAGTGGGCTGGGGATTAGAGCACCCAACCCACGAGGAGGTGGGAGGTAGCTGGGCTTCTTGGGTCTGGCCGTGGGGATGTAGGGGTGTCTGAAAGCAGCCCCCAATCGCAGCATAGGCAGGGATGGAGGGGATGGATGAGGCCAAACCCTTCTTGGCAGCAACAGGCGATGCAACGAGGGCCCCCAGTCCCAGCCCCGGATCACAGCCCAGGGGTGTTCAGGTTGGATGTGGGGAACCCTTCTTCCCCCAGACAGGTCCCCAGGGAGGTGGAGGGTCTCCATCTGGGCGTGGGTCAGGACTCAGCTGTGCCAAGCCAGGCACTTGGCTGCATCATTCAGTCCCCAGGGCTGAGCAGCCAGCTCAGGTCCCCGGGGACGGCCGCATGGCTCAGCGCCAACATGCTGGGAATGACCGTCCTCCATCCCTGGGACCTGGCGGCCCCAAATGCCCCGGGGCCGGGTTACAGGGCCACTCTCCTCCCACAAAGCTGCCACCAGGCTGGTGTCCCGTGGTGGTGCGCAGCCCCCCCCCCCCATGCGGTCCCACCCTGCTGGAAAACCAGAAGTGGGGAAAATCCCCCCAAAATAAACGCTCAAAGGAGAC